CCCAGATCCCCTTCTGCCCTGGGCCCCCTTGACAGCCACAAAGGGGAAGGATTTCGAGGCGCAGCTGCGGGACCATGGCCTTTTCTCAGCCCAGCCCGCCTTTGGAGCATCGTGGTCACTGTCCGTGACACTCATGGCTTGACTCAGAGCAGGAGACACGCTCTAAGACCGAACCACAGTGTGTCAGAGCTGAGGGGGCTCCAGGACCTCATTTTCCCCAGCACCTTGCTTTGCAGAGGAGAAAGCAGAAGCCCAGAGAGGGGAAAGAATTCCCTCAGGCCACACAGTGAGGGGCAGAGAGGGACTGGAAGCTAGCCTTTGGACAAAACTCACTGCCTTTGGAAGGCTCCTGGGTGATGCTCCCTTCCCGGCACAACTAACAGGCCTGAACACTCAGAGTGGCACACAGAAGGTGCTCAGTGGACATTTGTGGACTAAATGATTATAATGGGACAAAAAAAGCAGGCCATGAAACTGGGAGTGGACCTCAAATCCTGTCTTCCAACAGCAAGTCCTGCTCCTCTTTGGTATGGGTGAAGTGGGGCTGGGAAAGGAGGCGGGGCGGGGGGAAGCAGTGCGGGCACAAATCCTTTGTAAAGAGAAAATAATGGGGTGTGGGAAGCCCATAGGAGCAGGCTCAACCCAGAAATCAGGTACAGACGAGAGTGGCAGTTGGACACTGGCCTCGCTCCATCTCCCACGTAGGGAATGGGGAGCAGTTAGGGTTAGAATCTTGGGGGAAGAGAAATTCTTTTTCTGTTGGGCTGCTGAGGGGCGATGAGCCCAGCCTGTAACTGTTGGTGGCTATCTTGCTTTCATCAACAGAAAGCCCACCTGAGAAGGACACCAGCACAGAGGGGAGTGAGCCAGGCCGAGAGGCTGGGAGAAGCTATTCCTGCTGATGGCATCAAGCACCCAGGTACAGCCTTACCTGAAGCTATCTGCCTTTAGACTTCTTCATTACATAAATCATTCTCTCCTGCTTCATTTGCTTTTTTAAGCCACTTTGGGTTTTCTGTCACTGGCTATCAAAAAAATTCTGAGGGCTGGCCCAGTGGCATAGCAGTTAAGTTTCCTGCACTCTACTTCAGAAGTCTAGGGTTCACGGGTTTGGATCCCAGGTGGTGTTCCACATACAAAATAGAGGAAGATTGGCACAGAGGTTAGCTCGGGGACAATCTTCCTCAAGCAAAAAGAGGAAGATTGGCCACGGATGTTCATTCGTGGCCAATCTTCCTCATCAAAAAATAAAAAATCTGACTGTTCCTTCCAGCTGGCTAAATGGCGCACTGTGGAACAGCAACAATATTGAGGATTTAGGCTAGCTTCAAGGAAAAACTTCCAGATAACAGTGCAATCTAACCTGGAGATCCAAATGGACTCAAACAATATCTGTTGGGGGCCTGCTACAGGCTGGGCCACTCACATTACCCAAATTAATCCTGATTTTAGAGGACAAGATTGAGGCTCAGAGAAGGGAGGTAACTGGCTATAGCGAGGAAAGTGGGGCTGAGGCACCCGGCACCACATGCGGTGTACAGCGAGGGCCTGAGGCTGGTAACTGCCATGTGGCCGTCAGGAGACTCACAGAGGCAGTTCGCACTGAAGAGAGGAAGGGAACCTCCGCTCACTGGCACCACCACCCCTCCCAGCTCCCCCAGGGCCGGCATGCCTCTCTCTCGCTTTGCTTGGCAGAGTCATGCTCATGTGACCACAAGGGCCAGGGTCTGGAGCTGCTACAGGGGAGGCCAGGAGCCTGAGGCCCCCACCCTACCTGGGAACACCTCCTTCCTTTGGGCCTTGGGGGGCCCTATTCCCCACTTGCACACCAGATGTCTTTTCCAGAACATGCAGAGAACCTCGCTCATTCTGAAACAGGAGGTATCTATCACTGCCCTTTCCATGTCTCCCCGAAACGTAGCTCGTGCCCTCCTTTCCTTGCATCGTGGCCTCCCGGGGCTGTCGCTGACGGTCAATCAACTGCTCAGCACTTGAAGGCCCCTGTGAGGCAAGAGCTGCCCGCTGGGAAGCTCACACACCAGCTGAAGGGGCCGTTGAGGTCCCTGAGGGCCGGAACCAGTGCTCGGGCTAAGGTGACCCAAAACACTTCTTAATGGCTGGGGGCTCCTGGCCATGGTAGGGGTGCGAGGTCCCTGCAGTGTCTGAGGGCCCACTGTGTGCAGGTTCAGGGTGTACAGAGGAGAAAGGGCGGATGCCGGCCCCAGAGGAGTTCACAAACCAAATATGGGTGAGCCAGCCAGGCAGACAGAGAACCATAGCTCATGGGCTGTTTTCATAGGGGAAGGGTGGGGGTCGGGGCAGAGACCCATGTCTACTGGGGAACTAGTTAAAGTCAGGGAATTTTTTTTTTTTTTGAGGAAGATTAGCCCTGAGCTAACTGCTGCCAATCCTCCTCTTTTTGCTGAGGAAGACTGGCCCTGAGCTAACATCCACGCTCATCTTCCTCTACTTTATATATGGGACGCCTGCCACAGCATGGCTTGACAAGCGGTGCCATGTCCGCAGCCAGGATCCGAACTGGCGAACCCTGGGCTGCCAAAGCAGAACATGTGAACTTAACCATTGTGCCACCAGGCGGGCCCCAGGACAGGAAATTTTTAACTGAGATTTGAAAGCTGTACCAGTTAGATGTGTATTTGCCTAAAGTAACAGAAAACTCTACTAAGAGTGACTTAAACTGCAAAGGCATCTAATGTTTAATGTTTAAAGATGATGTGAGAGATGGGAAGCACACGCAGAGGCACGGAAGCACAGAGGCACAGCACACGCAGAGGCACAGAAGCACAGAGGCACAGCACATGCAGAGGCGCAGAAACACAGAGGCACAGCACACGCAGAGGCTCAGTGTGCAGAGGCACAGCACACAGGGAGGCACAGAGTTGCGGCACACACAGCAGCACAGAGGTGCAGAGGCACAGCACACTTATAGGCACACAGGTGCAGAGGTGCAGCATACTCAGGAGCACAGAGGTGTAGACGCAGCACACACAGTGGCTCAGAGGCACAGAGGCACAGAGGTGCCAAGGTGCAGAGGCACAGAGGCACAGGACACGCAGAGGCCCAGAGGCCCAGAAGCACAGTGTGCAGAGGTACAGCACACATAGAGGCACCGAGGCGCAGCCCACACAGAGGTGCAGATGCACCGAGGCGCAGCACACACAGAGGCGTGGAGGCACAGAGGTGCAGAGATGCAGAGGCACAGAGGCCCAGTGTGCAGACGCACAGAGGTGCGGAGGCACAGAAGCATAGAGCCACAGCACACACAGAGGCACCGAGGTGCAGAGTGCAGGAAATGAGCTGGCACATGGGATTACTGGTGGTTCATGACCACATCAGCACGGCAGGGGTGGGGAAAAGTGGGCAGGGCCTTGTATTATGTTTTATGCCTGGAGCGCAGTGGGCCCTGGGCAATAGGGAGCTACGAACAGACGCTGAGGAGAGAGTGAGGGCAGGCGCAGACAGGAAACTGCAGGTGTGCAGAGGCCCCTGGACTTTAGGAACTGAGCAGAGCCATTCTGTGACTGGCAATAATGTTGCTAATAAACCCTGGAGGCCTCTGTTCAAAAAGATGATGATAATTGACAAGAGAGAGTAAACACAACCTTGATTCATGAATTTGCTGATGGCAGTCCCCCGTTTCTGGATATGAGAACGCACACACGCAGCCTGGTGCTTTAGACAGCAAGGTCATCACAGTTGTGACACCCACAGCTCACCTCTCCCATCTGCCCTGGGCTGTTGCACTCCCCCAGGACCCGTGAACAAACATAGCACAGGTGTTGTAATTTACACAGGACACCCCCAACTCCGATGGTGAGGATGACTGTGTCCCAGCTTACAGAGGAGCAAACAGAGGCTGGAAGTAGCTCAGGGGCTTGCTGGTGACTGGTGGGGGTGGCATTTGAACCCAGAGCCTGTCTTTCCCAGTCCACCGAGCTGCTTTATGACTTCAGAGCCAGGATGTTTGCTAACCCCGAGGGGGCTCGGAACTCCTGCTCACCCCAGCACTCCCCAGGAGGTGGGCGGGGAGGCAGTGGAGGTCTCTTCCCTCTGCAACACTCTCCCACAGGACCCCACAGACCTGTCCTTCATTATGACCCAGGGCCTTTGGGGCCGAGCACGAGGAACGCCCTGCACCTGCGGGGACCACAGTCCATGGGGTGACACGTGGGCAGGTGTGCTGGGGGTGAGGCCTCACAGTCTGGCCCATGACTGAGAGGACAGCACCCTGGTTAAGGCCCCCTAGGTCCACACACTCACATCCTGGAACTGAGGGGGGCCTGGGGCTTCAGTTGGCCAATTCTGGCCTTTAAAGGGCAAACTGTGATCATCCAGGAGGCTGATTTCATTGATTAGATTACACATTTACAACCCAATGGCCAAGCCCCTTTCCCTGTTCCCTTGTAGCCCTCAGCCTCTCAGCTTTTATTTCTCTCCGGGACCAAGTTCTTAGCTTCAAATTGAGTCCCATTATGAGCAGAAATACTGTTCCCTTCATGTGTCAGCGTCAGTATAGAGGCCCTCCCATCCCCTCCCTCCCTCCCCGGGTTGCCGCCTCTGCACTGGGGGAGCCAGGCTGTTTACTGCCGCTCTGCAGATGTCGGCACGAAGGATTTAGGAGGAGGCTGGGAGGGGGCTGTCGGCATGGCAGGGTGAGGGGTCTGGTGACAATTCACCTGTGAAACCTCAGGCGGCTGGAGGGTCGGGCAGCAGGGAGTGCCACAGCCAAGGGCCCCGCAGGTTCAGAATAAGTCAATTAAACGTGTCAACCCAGCCTCCTCTGGGAGGCTGGGCCCTGGAGCACGACTGTCAGTGTGAAAGCAGAGGGTCCCGTGTGCCCGGACCCGCCATCCAGAGAGCAGGGGTTGAGAGGTGAGCACTTTGAAACCAGGACACTGGGGTGCAAACCCAGCTCCATCACTTGCTTAGTTACCAAGGCAGAACGGGCCTCAGCTTTCTCACCTGTAAAGTGGGCATCTTGGAGTCTCTCCCTCCTGGGGGTGGGGGTTAAATGAGGTGCAGGGAGGGCCTGGGAGCGGGCTGGGCTGAGCGCTGCCCCCAGGCACGCTGTCGGTGCTGTTGTGAGGACCGTCTTCTGGGGCAGGGCTGGCACGCTTTTTCTGTAAAGGGCCAGGGAGTAAATATTTTAGGCTTTGAGGGACCTGTGGTCTCTGTCACAACTGCTGGACTGCGGTTGTAGTGCAAAAGCATCGTCGACAATGGGCAGTCCAGGCTCTCAACCTGCTTTCCAGGTGAGGGCTCCGGGCCCAGGGAGTCCCTGTCTTACACACTCGCATTTCAGTAGTGGGCGGGCTGCATTCTGATAAAATTGCAGCTGCCCAAGGATGGCTAACCCTGTTCTAGGAGGCTGGCTAGGAGAAAGGGGAGGTGGTAGGGGCATGATTCCCCTGAAGTCAGGGGGCAGATGGTCATGTGCTCTGGAATCCACATCTCCCAGCCCCAAAGTGGTGGGCAATTTTTAAATCCTGCCCCTGAGGGGACTTGCAGCTGAAACAGGAGAGTAGTGGGCTCTGCACCTTGTTGGAACGACCTGGAAACCGAGTCGTATGGAACAAGGAATTCTGCCAAGTCACAGAAGCTCAGGGCAGACTTCCTGGGACACTGTGACTTGCCCCTCCTCACTGTCACTGGTGAGGGAAAGGCCTCAGGCAGGGGTCTGGGGGACCTGTTGGATTACACTTGCCACCCTTATCAAGGAGCAAGTCTAGTTGACATGGTCACATGGGTTGTGCTGTGCTGTTGAGGACTCGTTTTTGCCCTTTGAATGAGGATGTCCTGTGTGCCAAACACAGAACCCTATGAGTCAGGTCTGGAAAGCTGGGCACAGAGAGGTTAGGGAAAGCTTCCAGGTCACACAGCGGGTAGGGGCAGAGCTGGGGTCTGATGCAGACCTGATGCACAGGCCCACACCCTCTCTACTTTCCCAGGAGCCATCTGGATTCCACATGTCAGTGTCCCTCAGAGGGGTGCTAGGTATCAGCACTGATATCCTTGTCCTAACAAACCAGGATGCCATCAAAGGGAAGACAGAGACATTTGCTGTGTGCCTGCAGGGCCAGCTCGTTCACACACCCTGTCCACAGCACCCAGAAGGCTGCTCCCAACTGGCCCGGAGCACATGCTCAGGTGGCTTCCTCCTGGCTTCCTCCTGGGCTGAGTCACTGAGTCCTCCATGCTCAGTTCTCCTGTCTGTGTGGGCTGGAATCAGCAGCTACTTCCTGGGGGCTCCAGGAGGGTTAAACAAGCTAATACGTACAAAATCCTTGAGGCCGTGGCCAGCACACGGGGCACACTGGGGGTCAGCTGCACCAGTCTTATCCTTTCCTCTCCCCTTTGCTGGACGAGGAGACCCAGTGGGGGCAGGGCTTGTCCAAGTTCTCACCACTGCCCAACCGGGGGTGATGCCCAGATTGGACTCCATCCTCTGCCCCTCCTGAGTGTCTTCATTCCCATGCCTCGGCTGCTTGGACACTCAGCGAGGCAGGCCCCACTTCCTGAGGCCTCTGTGTCTCTGCCCTGCCCACCCGGCGTCTCCCCCAGGGGTCATCCCAGCGCCTCTGGCCCTAGGCCCCCATACCCTGGGTCTGCCATGCTGGGTGTGAGCAGAGTGATGGACATGCACCGCTGCCTCCTGGACAGTCTGAGGGTGCTCAGCATGCCAGTACCGTCCGCGGCCCAGAGAGCCTGAGGTGGGGCACGAGGTCTGAGTCTTCAGTAACGCACTAATTTAATTCATTCAACAATTCTCAGCACCTCCTTTGCTAGGTGGTTACTGGGGATGGAGAGACGAGGTGAACACAGGCTAGCCGGGCAGAAAGCGGTCCCATGGACATTCAAGGTGCAGCATGAGGAGGGAGTAACCAAGCGCTGACCTCAGAACCACTCTTGGCCTCTGTTTTCTCATCTTTAGAACGGGGACAGCAAAACCTACATTACATGGCTGTCGTTGAAGGGAGTGGCAGCCTGATCCACTGCCAGACCCTATCCTAAGCACTTGAAAAACATGAACTCACTTGATCCACATGAAAATTCTAGGACATAGGTACTGCTATCATCACCCCTTTTTGCAGTTGAGGAAACCGAGGCTCGGAGAGGTGAGGTAAATGCCTCGGATCACAGAGCCCAGGCCGTCCTGCTCCATTGCCCAGCTCTTGGTCAGTGCCTGCATGGGCTGTCCAGGGCCTCCCTTCACCCTTCACTGGGACCCACAGCTGCAGCCTTACATCAGTGAGATCATTCATAGGGGGCGAGGTGGGGGCACCATGGGCAGGTTTTCTCCAAGCACTGCTTTGCCACCAGACCGGCAGCTTAAGGGGCTGTGTTGTATTTGCTGCTGGATACCCAGACCTAAGGCCAGGCCAGTGGGGGGCAGCAGCAGAGGGGGACCTGCAGGGACAAGAGCATTGAGAGTCTGGACTCTACCTTGGGCAGCCGCTCCTGAGCCCACCCCTGGCCAGGCATCTTAAACCAAGAGCCTCAAGCCAGGGCCCAGGGACAAATCTGGATTTTAAAAGTTAATTATAACATTTAAAAACTGGAAGATTACAGATGGAATTCCAGCTGTCTAGCTTTTTTTTTTTTTTTTTTGTATGAAATGAGAAAATCTGGCCACCTGTGATAGTCCCTCAAGGCGACACTCTTCTGGAGCTGAGCTGGAGCCGTGCTCTGGACAGAGCTTGTGTCCCCAGCTTGCCACAGTCCCTGCGGCTCCCTAAGCTTCCCCTTGGCCCAGGACTCCCACCCCCACCCTGCCTCCCCAGGCCTGACCCCTGGAGGCATCTGAGTTCGCGGTCCTCCCGTTAGCCCCACTTCTTCACCTGGGACTTGAGGACCACAGCAGCATCCAGCCTGGGCACACCGGTTAGATGAACTGGGAATGCAGCCCTCAAGGCAGGGGTTCATCGCCTGCCCTCCAAAGGCAGCCGAGAAGGGGTGTGGGTGGGTGAGGCCCGGGACCAGGGGCTCGGGGAAGTGTCCCCAAGGAATGCTATGTCTTCTGACTCCAAAGCCACATTCTAACTTCCTGCCCGTCTCCCACTCTCTCATGCATTGCTGCAGCCAGGCATTCTGCAAACCCTGGGCATGCTGGGGATCACGACCCCGAGGTCAGCAACAAGGGCACCAGCAACAGGCACCCATCCAACGTGCCGTCTCCAGCAGCTCAGAGAGCACAGTGCCATTGTGAGGCGGCCACTGTCAGACCCATTTATAGTGAGAAACTGAGCCTCTAAAGGGACAAGGGACTTATGCAAGGTCACACGGATTTGGAAGGCTTAGAAGCTAGGTCTGCCGGTCTCTCACACAAGGAGACAGGTCAGCCTCAGGCAATGACAATCAGATGACCTAAGCATAGAGCGTGCTGCCTGTGTCATGGTGAGGGCCATGGTACTGGACAGGCGGGCTCAGGAACAAATGCCCCAGAAGGGCAGAGTCTTGCAGGGTGAGGGCACTGCTGTCTGGGGAGTAGAGGAAAGGCACTCCTGCTGGAGGACCAGCTCGTGCAAAGGCCTGGAGGTGCTGCAGTGTGAGAAACATGGCTTGTATGTGACAGAGGGGGACACTGGAAGCCACTGCTCTCACATGTGGAAGCCCCTGGACTCCTCCTCCCAGCTTGACCCCAGCCCTGGCAGCTCTGCCTCATCTATCTCTCTGTCCCCCACTCGTCCTGCTGCCCTCGCGAGGCCCAGCCTCTGAGTCTGCTCATCCTCAACATCCTGCACTTTCCATATTATCCTGTATTGGCTCAGACACAAAGGATGGATTCCCTTCCTTGAAGTGATAATTAAGTTTCTCATTACAGAAGGATACCCTCACGACATGTCTTCAAAGTTTTAAAAAACTTAAAATTGAAAAGAAAATCCAGACTGTTAATGGTCTAAATGAGCACAGGGTGAGAGAAGGTCCCTCAGGTTCCTGGTAATGAAGGAGCCCTGGTCCCGGAGGGAGAGGAGGAGGGGCTGAACTTGACCCCCATGCGGCCTGTGGGTAATCCTTTCGTGTGTTCAGGGTTTCACCCGCCATCACGTTTTTCGGAGCCCCTTTCTGCATCTGGCCCAGGTCCCTCCCAGAGCTCAGGGGCTGGAGAGGTCATCAGAGTGTGATCACAGCACTGGGGCATCCCAGGTGAGGCCTGAGGGGGTGGGAATTAAGAATTGCTTCATGGAGGAGGTGGCATCTGTGCTGGTCCTCCAAGGACGAGCCATCATCTAGCCACGCCCTGGCACCGAGTAGGAGCCAAATACGTAAACGAATGAGTGAGCAAATGAATGAATAGGCACCCACCTAACAGACAGAAGGAGGGGCAGCCAGCCCAAGCCAAGATGTGAAACTCAGGGCCCCCTGGGGAATGTGGGGAAGGGCTGCCATGGGGTGCCCGCCTCACCCCCTTTTTGGCTGTCCTGCCGCCAAATTGCCGTGCTCTGGCCGCTCGGGAGCCCTGGTCTGCCCTATAATCTGGGAGTCTGCTTGTCATTCCCAGCCGCTCCCACAGGTGTCACCTCCGTGTCCCCGTGTGTAAGTGGACCAGCCTCTTGGGGGTTTGTGAAGAGGGGGAGGACGGTGTGCAGCCCCAGGCTGAAGACAGGAGGGAGAGGATGGCGGGGTTCCCAGGGAGGTGGATCCAGGGGGTGGGGCGCATCTGCGTGGCAGGGTGGGCAGGAGCCTTTCCTGGGGCAGAAGAGCCCGCTGGTGAGGTCTCCCTCACCAAGAGGGGCTTCGTGGAGAGGAGGCAATCGTGGAGCAAGGGCTGAACTCAGTCTGGGACACACTGACTTCAAGAAGCTCAGGGGACACCCAGACAGAGAAGTGTATGAAATGTTGGATGTGGAGGTGAAAGTGTGACAGAGGGTCTGGGTCAGAGCTTGAGACCCACATGAGATGAGGCAGAGGGGCAATGGAAGGGGCTGGAGGATCTTGAAGATGTTCAGTAACTGGGGTCATCAAGGTGGAGACTGCTGTGTTGATTTCACAGCCTCCTGGTGCCTAACACAGCTGGGCCCAGGGAGGCCATTCAATAAACATGTACTGACTTGACCCAAATTAGCCCGATTCTACTTTAAATCATAGAATAGAACAGAATTTGCTGAACTCAG